CTCTCAATCGCGTCACTCATGTCGTGAGTGGAGAATCTGGCCATTGCCAGAATTCCAATATTTACAAACTATAAATGGTCGTGGGGCCACTGCCGTTTTTACCTCCTTGGAGGATTATACGGATGGGCGGTGCTAGATAGAGGTTGTGCAAAGGGATTTAGATGATGGGTAAGGTGAAATGGGTGGTTTCTGGTGAAATTTGCTGGGGTAAGGTCTAGGACAAATGGGATATTAAGGTCATGGTCTAGGGTTTTGTTGGATACATAGAAAGGAGCATCATCTATTGTTCGAAGCACTTTGGATTGGAAGGATTGGATGCGTTTGATGTTAGAAAATTTTGCTGTTCCCCACAGTTCAAGTCCGTAAGTCAAAGTAGGTTTCAGTATTGTCTTATAGATAAGTATTTTATTTTCAATAGAGAGTTTAGATTTTCTATTTAGTAGTATGTATAGTTGGCCGTATCGTCGATTAAGTTCCTGTCTTTTAAGTCTAGTATGAGGATTCCACGTTAATCGTCTGTCTAAGAGATGCCAAGGTACCGGTCTGTGTCTGAGAAAGGAAGCTCGATGGAATTAAAGTGTACTGGTGGACAGGAACTGCGTCGGAGCGTGAAGGTGACGTGTTGGCATCTGGATTCATTTACTTTAATACGCCATTTATTAAACCAGTGCTAAATCAGGGAGAAGTGTCTTAGAAGGTTCAAGGATGCTATATCAGGATCTGAGTCGGATGGTAGAATGGCGGTGTCATCAGCAAAAGTTCCAGAGAGGTATCCGGATGGACAGGGATATCGGCGGTAAAGAGGATGTAAAGGACGGGACCCAATACGCTACCTTGAGGAACACCTGCCTCAATTGGATAGAAATTCGAAAATTCAGTGCCGCAGCGAACTCGGAAGGTACGATCTGAGAGGCAGGAACGGAGGACAAGGTATAAGGACTGCGGAAGATGGGTTTTCAGCTTGGAAAGAAGCCCGGCGTGCCATACCCGGTCAAAAGCTTGAGCTATGTCCAGAAATGCACCCGAGCAGATTGCTTGCTTTCCAGGGCTGTGGAAATATGATCGACCACTCTAAGTCCTTGTTGGACTTAGAGTGTTGGGAACGGAATACGAACTGGTGTGAAGGAAGATTTTGAGATTCTATAAAGGGTGGGATTCTTTTCAGGATGATCTTTTCAAGGATTTTTGAAAGGATTGGAAGTAAGCTAATGGGTGTGTAGGAAATTAAGCTTTTTGGAGGTTTGCCTGATTTTGGGAATAGGATAATAGCAGAATGTTTCCATAAAAGAGGGAAGTGGGTGGTTCGTAGGATGCTAATGTATTTGTATGTAAGGTATATGACAGCTTTAGGAGAGAGTTGTCTAAGAATCTGAGATGTACGGAGGTCGTATCTAGGTGATTTGCTGGTAGGTAGTTTTTGTAAGTGGTATTTGACCTCAGAATGATTAACTGGCTGTATGGAGAGTGGGATGGGTTAATTAAGGAATTCCTCTACTGCTGATGTGTGGGTGGGGTTAGATTTCAGATAAGAGGTCAATGTAAGGGAAAGGTGTTTGGCGAATTCCTCAGCTCTATCTTCGTCAGACGCTGCCCAAGAGCCATCACCTCGACGGAGAGGATGTGATATATGATGGGGTTTTAGGATTTGTTCAGTGATCGTGATGAAGGTAGGAGTTAAAGGATTGGGATCAAGGATTAGGGTTAAAGGATTGGTGGCCAATTCTAGCTTTATTTTTTTGCAAAAATAATTATAGGATTTACGATCGGTGGGGTGTCTAGTACTTTGCCATAATAATATGGCACGGCGTTTGGTATGGATTAGGTCTATGAGGTGTTGAGGTAACTTATTTTTCTTGGGAGTTCTTGAGGTGTTGTTCGGAGAGGAAACAGTCCTGATTGCTTGTTGGTGGTAAAAAAGTGCGCGGCATTGTCAGGGTCATCTGGGGTTTTCAGGGTTATTCTGAAGCCAATTTTGTGGGAAAGGATTTGATGAAACAGTTTCCAGTTGACTGGACCTCTGATGAAGGATGGTTGAGAAGACTTAGTGGAGAAGAATAGGAGCTAGAGATAATTGAAGTAATAATGGGCTATGATCTTAGGATAGTTCGGCAAGACGGGTAGGTGAATGATTGAGTGGATCTTAGCCAAGTGATGTCCTAAGGAGTTGAGAAGAGAACTGAACTGAATATTGGATATGGATCTGTTAGGAGCGCTATATGCTGATGCTATGGTGACGGGAAAGGAGAAGGTTTTGATTACGATAGCGATGGATTGTAGGAAATCTTGGGTCGGTAATGGGAGCTGGTGATGAGAAAGGGAGTGGTGTAAAATAACAGCAGTACCGGCTTGTGCTTTACCGTCAGGATGGTAAGTACGGTATGTTATGTATTGAGGTATTTATAAATGCTGTTTTCTGGTCAGTCGTTTTTCCGTAATTAGTGCTACGTCGATGTTCTTGTTCAGTAATAAAGCTGTTAGTTCGTCAACGTGATTTCTAACACCATTCGCATTCCAAAGGAGAATTGATATGGGTTTTGGGATGTGAGTCATTAAGGATTTTTCAAAGGAGGGATGAGGTGTGATACGAGATTTGTGAGGAGTGATATGAGTGGAGTAACTAAGGATTTGAAATCAGTGAGGAATGACACCAACAAATTGGTGAGATCTGTTGCATTTGAAGGAGGAGGGATATGATGAATTTGTTGTTGATGGTTAGGTATATTCGGATCAATAGGAATTTGAGGTTGGGGTTGAGGTTGTTGTTGCATCAGGGATTGACAGTTGTCGGTTGAGTTATTACCTCTAAGGAGCTGGGAAAATGATACACTATTGTTTACTATTCTAGAAGGTTCTCTCTCTCTTCTTGGTCTTCCTGCTTCATCTTGAATCCGGTTTTTCTGGTGTCTGGATTTGAGATTCTTGTAAATTTGGCATCCTTTGTAGTTGGCCGGGTGTCCCTCCAGGCATAGTGCACACACTGCAGGATCTTGTATCGGTTTTGTGCACTCCACTGATTTGTGCTGTTCACTGCATTTCACGCAACGCAGCAGATGGTGACAATAAGTTTTCATGTGGCCATACGCCTGACAATTATGGCACTGCACGATTTCTCTCTTGGGGTATTTTTTCTACTTTCACCATTGTGTAATATAATCTTGTGATATCGTATATTTTCTCAATACCGGTTGATGGCTCCAGATTCACGAAAAATAAAGTTAGTGGAACTTTATTTTTTACTCCAGGCTGCTCCTTATTCTCCTTCAGAACGTTGGTTACCTGACGTACTTTGAAACCAAGCGCCGCTAGTTCTTCTTTTATCACTTCAGTTGGGGTTGAGGAGTGTAAATTTCTTATTACTACTCTCAACGATCTCTCCTGCCTAAGCTGGTAGTATGAAAATTCGCATTCGTATCTGAGAGGTATTTCACTATTATTCGGTAGGTTACAGCAGTATCCTGTGTTATTTTTGTATCATTGGTCCTGTTAAGACATGAATAACTGCCAGAGCAGATTTCATTTAGTTTGGTGCAGAACAACTTGAAATGTTTGATATTTTTCAGAAATATCGGAGGAGGCCTTGGTTCCGTGGGTATAGCTGTAGAGTCCATTACCTCTCGGTCATTTTGAAGCACTTGGTAGGGGTTTGGATTAAAGAAAGGGGAATCTTCGATCATTTCTTGCGAAGAAGTTCCTGGTTGTTGCTGAGGTTGTGGTCCTGAAGTGGTCACTTTAGTTGTTGGAGATGTTTTTCGTAGGCAGTGACGAGTTCTTTGTTTTGTTAGTGAACTAAGTCATCTGACCGAATCCTCTTGGGCACCTTACTGGAAATCATTTGGTGACTATACCGCATACCATAAGAGAAGAAAGAAAAAAAAAATATCAAACAGCAATATCAACTGCCCTGATGTACACTTGAAAAGTATTCAATGAAAAATCAGAGAGATTCCGCTGAAAAATAGGCAAATACTGAGAGACCAGTTGAGAGCACAATCTTCCCATCAGCTGATCCACTGCCTTAAAAGAAGAAGTAAAATATAAAATCATTTCATGGATGTATAAAGCATTTGTTTATAACCTTAAATCATTTACTGTGGTTTGATAATTCTAGATCTGATATTAAATATTTAAATATTTAGATATATATTGTCCGTTTATTCCAAAAAGTCATCATGTAACCTTTCAGAAAATTAAATAATTTGATGAATTTCCCCTTTGTGATATTCAACAATATCCACCTTCAATTAGTATGACAACTTTTGACCTGTCTATGACAGACAATGTAAATCTCTAAATTCCATTTTACTAAACTTTACAATGGAAAATAACAGTTTAATAACCAATAGTCTTACAATCCATAATCAACGGACCGTACAATCCATCATCAACCGGTTATATAATAAATAGACCTTTTGTTATTTTAATGGTATTTATAATTTGCTATCTGTATTTTTTTTGCTTTAATTCGGTTAAAATACCCTAACGTGGCCAGAAAATAATTTCTATTAAAATGTTGAGCGGTAAGTGAAAATTGTATTTTGGGCGCACCAGATTTTTTATAATTTTTTACTTGTTATTTTGCTTATGTTTTCTGTATATATGGTGTAAATGTGTTTATATCTCACTTCAATTATTGTCCGTGTGACAGATTGTTGTATTTCTGAATAAATAAATAAATATAAATAAAAAGAAATGAAAAAATATACTTGTATATATAAGCTAAAATATAATTACAAAAATATTAAATACAATTGTGATATATTTTAGAATTTGAAAGTGGTACATTTAGCCTTAAAATAAGGGTCTCCTCTTTGACTCCCCTACCAACTTTTCCTTGAATCATATTTATCTTCTATATCTTTATCTTATCTTATATCTTGAATCATATTCATTTTTATAACATCTCCACCGTCACATAGAAATTATGTTTAATTTAACCATCATCATTGACTGATTCTTATTAATTAAGCTACTGTTTTTAATTACTATAATGGTATTTTCAGAGTGACGGTGCTTCCGTGTCAACAACATCAATGATTGATGAGATAACGCAAACAACAGAAGAAAATACAACCTTAGAGCCAGAAGGCTGTGAAGATGAGGCAGATCATGAACCAAGATGCGGTGGCCCTTATACCACCTTATGCGAAGATTGCATCGATTTTATGATAGAGTGTTTTGAATGTTCTCTTAATTAAATATATATTATTTTTTAATTTAATTTTATATAAATGATTTCTTATTCTTCTTTTCTTTTTTTTTGTTGAGAAGCTATTTAATTTTCTTTGTTTTTGGCAATAAAAACTTCCAAGTACAAAACAATTAGTTTATTTGTTAAAATTCATGCCAAGTTTACGTTTCGGAAAATTATTCCAATTTTCATAACTTTATTCTTATGTTTTATAGAAATTAATGGCTAGAAAAGAGTTAGTTAAAAACAATGCGTGTTATGTTGTTACATGTCAATGTAATGTTGTTACATAATTTGCAATAATTACCTAAAGCCTCGTGTGCTCCTTTATCATTAATTGTAGTTTTTGTTTTATATATAAAATAATAAAAATATACTATCACATTTATGGCACTAATAATTGGGTGTCTGCTAGGTACTTAGTAAGGGGGAAGGAAAGTGGAATGGGTGATGTAAGGAATTCTTCTAGTGTTGTGGTTTGGGTGGGGTTGGATTCCGGATGAGAGGTGAATGTTCTGGTTAGGTGTCTGTCGAATCAGTGTTTTCTTCATAAGACGCTGAACAGGAGCCATCACATCGACGGAGGGGATGGAAAATATGATAGGATTTTGTTGGTGATTTTCCATAGGGAATTGTCGTGAACAGAGAGAGAAGTAAGGTAGGAGTTTAAGGATTGGGATTTGAATGTGACCAATTCCTGTTTTAATCATTTACTGAAATAATTATAAGAGCGGTGATCGGTGGGGTATCTTGAACGTTGCCATAATATTTTGGCAAGGCGTTTGGTGTGAATTAAGTCTAGCAGATATTGAGGTAAATTATTTTTCTTAGCTATTCTTGAGGAGAGATTTGGAGGGGAAGCAGTCCAGATTGCTTGGTGAATAGTGGTGGTAAAGGAATGTACGGTCTTCTGGGTTTTAGTGTTATTCTGAGGTCAATTTTATCAGAAAGGATTTGAGGAAAGAGTTTCCTGTTAACTGGGCCTCTGATGAAGGACGGTGAAGGGGGTTTAGGTATAGAAACTATTGATAATTGAAGTATTAATGGACTGGTATCTGAGGAAAGAGACAACATTAAATAAAAAATTAAAAACACATTCATACATATTTGCAATTCATACATATTACAAGTCAGCCAAGGAAGCTCCGAGTAGGGCCTTTTCCCCCACGCGTGGAGGCAAGACTCCATGAGATCCCAGCGCTTCTCTCAGCCGCATCACTAGGATGGGAATCCAGTGGAGACTAAGAGAGGACACTAAAGCCACATACGCTCACGACTTGTGTAGAGAAGCTGACCATTGCCAGGACTCCAGTGACGTATTTACAAAATAGTTCGAGACCACTGCCGCTTCAACCTTCAAGGAGGATTGCAGAGATGACTGGAACTGGATAAGGATTGTGCAAAAGGATCTGGATGATGGATGAAGTTCTGATGAAAATTTGAAAATCGGGATGGAATAACGTTAAGGACATAAGGGATGTTAAGTTCATGATGTAAGGTTTTGTTCGTAACATAATAAGGACCACTAGCGGATCCAGAATTTAATTTTTGGGAGGGCTTTAGCCCGAAAGAATTTTTTTTCATATACATATAACGATAATTATTTTTTTTTTTAAAAGAAAGAAATTAACTACCTATATGGAATGGTGTTTAAGTGGTTCTTGAAGTCCTATTAAATGTAATTAAACGAACAAGAATACTTTAAGAGGTTGTTTTTAATATTTTTTTCTGTATATTTCACCATTTTGGGGGAGGGCTTCAGCCCGAAAACCCCCCCGCCGCAGATCCGCCTGTGATAAGGACCAGTGACTATTATACGGAGAACTTTAGACTGGAAGGATTGGATGCGTTTGATGTTCGAAAATTTAGTTGTCCCCACAGTTCAAGTCCGTAGGTCCAGATGGGTTTCAATATGGTCTTGTACATTAATAGTTAATTTTCAATTGAGAAGTTAGATTTTCTGTTAGGTAGCCTATATAACTGGCCAAAACGTCAGATAAGTTCTGGTCTTTTAAGTCTTGTATGTGGGTTAGTCTTAGGGTTCCATGTTAGTCTTTTGTCTAAAAAGAATCCAAGATACCGAACTGTGTCTGAGATGGGAAGAGGTGCTGAGTTGAAAAGGATATCTGGATAAGATCTGCTTCGGAGGATAATGGTAACATGCTTGCATTTGGATTCATTGATTTTGATGCGCCGATTGTTGCACCATTGCTCTATTAGAGAGATGTGTCTTTGTAGGTTTAGAGATGCTGTTTAAGGGTCTGGGTGGGATGATAGGATGGCGGTATCGTCAGCAAATGTTGCTAGAAGGGTATTAGGACGGGTTGGGATGGCAGCTGTGAAAGAACGCTACATCCGTAGAGAACTTGACCCAAGACACTGCCATGTGAAACACCAGCCTCAACTGGATAATAATTGGTGAATTCAGTGCAGCAGCGGACTTGAAAGGAACGATTTGAAAGGTAGGGTTTGAGGACTCGGTACAAGGATTGGGGTAAGTGGGTTTTAAGCTTGAAAAACAAGCCTTCGTGCCACACCCGGTCGAAAGCTTGCGCTACGTCCAGAAAGGCAACAGTGCAATATTTCTTGTTTTCAAGCACAGAGGACATATGGTCAACAACACGATTGGTCAACAATGGCCTTGTTGAACCGTGGAATGTCTTGAGCGGAATCCAAACTGGTAGGCATTCGATATTGTGGCATTCGAGTATGGGTAGAATGCTTTTGAGAAGGATTTTTTCAAAGAGTGTTGAGAGGATTGGGAGTAATCTTATTGGTCTATAGGATGAGGTATTATTAACAGATTTGCCTGGTTTAGGGAAGAGGATGATTATGGAGTGTCTCCACATCAGAGGAAAATGAGTTGTGTGGAGGATACAGTTGTATAAGTATGTAAGGAACATAATTGCTTTTTTGGGAAGTTTTCTAAGGATCTGGAAAGTGAGGAGATCGTGTCCGGGGGATTCTCGAGATTTTAGGTTATTCTTTAACTTCAGCAGTGTGGGTGGAATGGAGTTCAAAGTGAGGAGTGAATGTATTGGGTAGGTGTTTGGAAAATTCTTCAGCTCTAGTCTTATCTGACGATGCCCTGGTTCCATCAGCGCATCGGATTGGGTGGGAAATAGAGTGGTATTTAAGGGTTTGTTCCAGAGAGAATTGTCATCGGTAGTGAGGGGAGAAAGGTAGGAATTGTAGGATTGGGATCTAATGGAATCCAGTTCTTTTTTAACCTATTTGGAATAATACTTGTATAATTTCCGATCATCAGGATGCCTGGTTCTTTGCAAAGGTCCTAGATTGGCTTTTGGATTGAATAAGGTCAGTAAGGTTTTGCGGCAAAGGATTCTTTTTAAGGTTTTTTTTTGGAGGTGAGTGGTGAGGATGCAGTCCAGACTGCTTGTTGGATCAAGGTTGTGAACGAGCTCACTACATTATCTTGGTCTTGAGGGGTTTTTAGGAGTACTCTGAGGTCTACTGCATCTTTTATCGTTTGGTGGAAAAGGGCCCAGTTGACTGGGCCTCTGATGAATGAGTGAGGAGATAATTTGAGGATAGGAGATGCGGAAAGGGTCAAGTTAAGCGGACTGTGGTCTGAGGAAAGGTCGTCAAGCCGTGAAACTGAGAAATGTAACGGGCCTAGACCATTGTGAATGATGAAGTCAAGGAGGTCAGGAATACGGGTAGGATCGGTTTACTTAATGTAGGTGTATCAGGGGAAAGGGTGTTGCTATTGCAGGAATTAAGTGCAGACAGCACTGTTTGTGTTGTCATTAAGGTCAGCACCTATAAGGAAATAGTGTCCTAAGGATTTAAGAAAGGATATGGAGTTAGGTTCAGGTATTGCTATTTTAGGTAGGGAGTATGCTGCGACAACTGTAACAGGGAAAAGTGAGGTTTGGATTGTTATTGCTGAGGTTTATAGGAAATTATGAACTGGTAAAGGATAAAAGTGATAGGAGAGGGATTGATGGATGATGACAGGTGTTCCTGCATGTGCGGTTCCATAAGGATGGTAAGTTTGATAAATCTTGTAACCAGGTATTTTGAACTGTCGTTTGTTAGTTATTCTGGTCTCAGTTGTTAGGGCAACGCCAATGTTATTGTTCCTTAGAAAAAAAAAGTTAGTTCTTTGATATGGTTTAGAACACCATTAGCATTCCAGAGGAGAATCTAAAGGGATTTTGTTGAGGACATTTAAGGAATTCTTGGCGGTGGGATAAGATTAGCAATGACATTTGTAAGTAGGGAGATGTGCGGTGTGATGAGAGATTTGATCTCGGAGAGAAATGATGTAAGGAGACTGGTAAGGTCATTGGCATTGTTAGAGGGAGGAATGTGGGAAATTTGGTGAGGACTGGACTTTAGGTTATTCTTTTGTTGGGGTGGTGGATCAAGAGGTTGTTGTTGCGTTTGCGGCAGGGCCTGAGGTTGTGTTGACTCTCTTAGCATTGCAGCATAGGACATTTCATTGTTCACACGTTCTGGAGAGCGCTCTATGTTCACGAAAAATAGTGGTAGTGCTATTTTGTTGTTTGTTCCGGGTTGCTCTTTATTTTCTTTATAAATATTGACGGTTTGGCGGACATTGAAACCTAAAACCTTCAATTCTTCTTTGATTTCATCTGGAATTGAAGGGTGTAGACCTCGTATCATTACTCTCAGTGCTCTCTCTTCATATAACTGGTAGGTGTAAAATTCAGCCTTTGACTCGGTTAAGTATTTTATAATTTTTCTGCATGTTTCCGAAGAATCCGGCATTAGTTTGGTGTCATTAGTTCTACTATAACAAATATATTTACCATGTTAGCTGTTATTGCCTAAGCTTCCCGTTCTTTTACTTTTATTAGACATTATCATGTGATAATAACGTATTTAAATAGTCTGGCTCAAAAAGTAAAATAGTTTAGTGTGTAAATAATTACGTAGACCGGTATAGCTCCGAGTGACCTGACCCAACTCCTCCGGCAGCCGGCCGGCTATCGAATGAGTGGGGGAGACTGTTTATAG